AAATATTTAACCAGAGCAACCCCCACAAATTAATACGTCGCCAAAAACCTCCTGCAATCAACAACCGCACCGAACACCAGAACCTCACTGAAAACCACAACCTTAACATCCCCTCGCAATCAACAACCTCACCGTCGCTATAAACCCCCGCAAATACTCCCACTCTCGCCAAAATAAACCCCATTGTCGCCCAAAATCTCAGCCCTAGCCCTATCGTCGCCGTAAACCACTACCATTCCCTTCCACGAGTCTTAAATTAGCGATGTTTTAGAGCAATAGGGGTTTAGATCGTGGTGTAAGAGGCGCCGCAGAAGAGAGAGGAAATGACTACGGGGATGGGATTGGATGATTTAGGGGCCGCGAGGTCAAGGGGGGGGGGGGGGGGGAGTTCAGCCTGGCACCAGCGTCGGGGAGGGGATCTGGGTGGGCGCAGCCGGCGCCGGCCGGGAGCAGGGGAGTTGGGGTTGGTAGATAACGATGGAAGAAGGAAGAAAGGGTGGTGTTCTAGTGGGTTTTTGATAAATAGGGGTATTTTAGGAATTTTTCTTTTCCCACCCTTTTAAAATTTTAACCATGGTTAAGATTTTCTTAAAATAATTAACTAATGTTACCATTGAAATACTTTTACAGTACAAGTTCACGATTACCAAAGATAATTAAAATTTTTGTTGCTTACCATTGAGAAAAATAAAAACCTCAAGAGTACCATTGAGAAATTTCCCAAAAAACTTTATAAATTACTTGAATTAATTCATTCATCGTCTTTTGATATATTATAATATTTAATAAATTCTTAATAATAATTGTAAAAAAAATGGCTTAAAATTATAAAATTAAATCTCTATTTGCGTGATAGTTAATCAACAATTTGTCTAAAAAAACTAAATACCAAACACTTATTATAATTTTACGATTTTTACATCAGATATGAAGGCATGATCTTCGTTAGTCTTTACCTATATATGTCTCTTATTGCGCGCTTTATATCATGAAAAATAATGGTCCATTACATGCAAGCAAAGTCATCCTATAGAATTTCCATAGTATTATTCTGGCATGAAACTCTTCACTTTTCTTGTCGAAAAGTCTTCCTTCTTTGTCGTCTCAATATTTTTCTTTTCAATCATTATCTTTATTATTATAGAAATTTTACATGGAATTTTAAGAGATGTTTCTCTAATTTTTTATTTTTTGGAACTTAAGTTATGTAAAAAGGCTTTATTGAAAATTTATATTTATATTAGAAGAGAGGGAAGATAAGGGGTCATAGAATTAAATTATGAATGTGAATAAATTAAATTAAAAGATGGAAGGAGAAGAGGAGAAGGTTTAGGAAATTTAGTTTGTTATTTAATTAAAATAGAGATTACAAAATATTAAAGTTATTGAAAAATAAAGAAGAATATGAAGAGAATTTCTTTAAAAAATAAGGAGAGAGAATGAATAAAGAAACAAGTAATTAATGTTAGTTTTTCCCTCTAGGTTTTCCTTGGGGGGTTTCGTCTAGTCACTTGGGGGTAGGTTTTCCTTATTTTCAAGGTTTTTCTCGATTTTTGATCGAGTTTTCCTGTTGATTTCGTGATTGCTTTCTGTTTCTTTGCTCTCTTCTTAATTAATTCTGTTCTTTTATCAATTTTGGATGAAAACTCACAAACCCTAGATACCGTTGAGATGGAAGGGGATGTGTTAAAAATTAAAGGTGAATCCTCCAATTCTGATTTGAATGATCCAATAGACTGGGACGATACTGGTGAGGAAGAGATGAAGATGCTCGTGTAGAACTTGCTCTTGTTGGGAAGATTTGGACGAACCGTAATGTCAATACCAATGCTTTTATTTCCACAATCAAAGGAGTTTGGCATCCTAAGCATGGTGTGGACATCACAAATATTGGCAAGAATCTCTTCATGTTTCAATTCTACCATTAGCGTGACAAACATAGAGTTCTCGAAGAGAAGCCTTGGCACTTCGATAAACATGCGCTCCTTCTTGGGGAAACGACGGACTCGGTAAAGCCTTCTGATATCCAACTCTTTCACTTGCCAATGTGGATTAGAATCTATAATCTCCCTCTTAAAGGAAGGCTAAATACTGCTAATGTTGAAAAAATTGGCAATAAATTAGGTGTGTTTTATTAAACTAGATAGTGATGCTCGTGTGGGCATTGATAAATCAATACACATTCGAATTTTGATCGATGTGAGAAAACATCTCGCTAAGCATGTGAAATTAAAGCTTAGAGGAGGAATTGAGGAATTGGTTGAGATAAAATATGAGAAGCCTCCTTTGTTCAGTTACTTTTGTGGACTCATGGAACATGGGATAAAGGATTGTGATGACCATAAAGAAGCTGATAACCTGAACATATCTTTAGGGGCCTGGAAGAAGGCGTCTCCTTGGAAGTATAGCATGGGTCTTAGAGAGGATAATGAGGGATTGGATAAGAACAAATCTGCACGAGCGTTGTTTGTAACAAAACCGAATAAGCCTCCTTTGAATCCTGAAGTTATTGCTCAAGTGCAGGAGATGGTCAGTAAGATAGGAGAGGTGGGATTATGCTCCAATAATTCTACAGATGTAACGCAAGGGAAAGAATTGGGGAGTGGTACCTTTCGTTTTACCAGTGGCATGATTTCGGTTGAGGAGCATGATAAACTTACAATTAAGGGGAGCAGTGGTGAAGGGAGTGGCAAGACTTCGAAGGGATGGCAAAGGTTGTTGATGGATGATGATCATAGTATGGGTAGTGGTGTTGCTCTTGCTGGAGGTAAAAGGAGGGAGTGTGAAACTAATAATAATGCTGAGATGAAGAGTGGTGAGGAATTGGAAGGAAATAAGAGAAGGTCGAAGCCCCTATTTGCTGAAAATGCGGCGAGCCCCACTACTTGGGCTCTTGGTGATAAATGAGTTACATCCTCTCTTGGAACTATAGGGGCTTGGGTAGTGTCGCTGCATTAAATGCGTTAAAACGCATAGTATTTCTTGAGAATCCCCATATTGTTTTTCTTTCGGAGACTAAGTTAAAAGCTTTTGAGATGGAAAAAATTAAAAATAAAATAAATTTCACCTCGGGCTTTATTGTTGAGTGTGAGGGAGAAGGGAGAGGTAGAAAGGGGGTCTTGCTTTGTTTTGGAAAGATGGAGTAGATGTGTCTTTGAGGACAAATTCTATAAACCATATAGATGCGTGGGTAAGGTCCAAATATTATGATGAGTGGCGGTTTGCTGGTGTTTATGGGCACCCCAAGGACGAAAATAAATATCGAACGAGGTTACTCATGGAGGGGCTGTGGGATGCTTCAAACAAACCATGGCTTGTGGGGGGTGACTTCAACTTAATGCTGCACTCGGGTAAGAAGCAAGGAGGCCGAGAGTTTTGTCTTGAGGAAGCTGCTATTTTCGTAATGCTGTGACTTTCTGCCAGTTGGAAGATTTGGGTTTTATTGGCCATGATTTTACGTGGACTAATAATAGAGGTAGGGTGGAGAACATCCAAGAAAGATTAGATAGATTCTTTGCAAACCGGGCTTGGAGAGATATGTTTTTGGGATCTTTTGTCACACACCTTACGAAGAGGAGGTCCATCACCTACCTATTCTTTTATGTATCAAAGAAGCCGTCCCCAAGCAAAAGAAAAAAAGAAAAAAAAATTGTATCGTTTTGAGGAAATGTGGCTACGAGATGAAAATTGTGCTGAGATTATCTCGTCCGCTTAGGAGTATGGAGGGGATTTGTGTTCGAAAATAGCCTTTACTTCTGCAAGGCTAAGTGCGTGGAGTAGGATGAAATTTGGGGATTTTGTAAAAGAGCTAAATGCATGTAAAGCCCAAATGAAGTTTTTAATGGGTGAGTATCAATCGGAGGAGGTGATTTCTCAAATGAGGGCTCTTGATGATTGGAGGGATGAGTTGGAAAAGAGGGAAGAAATGTACTGGAAGCAACGTAGTAGGCAAGATTGGTTGAAGCATGGTGAAAAAAATACGTCTTTTTTTCATCAAAAGGCCAATCAACGAGAAGCACGAAACCATATTGCTCATATAAAAGATGCAGCAGGCAACTTATATGAAAGTGAAGAACAAATTTCAGAAATTTTTGTGAACTTTTTCGTGGATCTTTTTGCTAGAAGCAGCAACATTGAGACAGAGCCGGAAATGGAAAAAGTCGATCCTAGTATTGATGAGAGACAATACACGACTATGAATGCCCCATTCAATGCTGAGGAGGTTCGTACTGCTCTATTCCAAATGCATCCTACAAAGGCCCCCGGGCTCGATGGTATGTCTGCAATTTTTTATCAGAAATTTTGGGATATTGTGGGGAATGATGTAGTTGCGAAAGTGCTAGATATTTTGAATAATGATGGGGATATAGGTTCTATTAATCAGACTCACATTGTGCTAATTCCGAAAAAATGAGCGTCAGTCTACTGTTGATTATAGACCTATAAGTTTGTGTAATGTATTGTACAAAATTGTTAATAAATACTTGCGAATAGATTTAAGTTGGTGCTTCCGTATACTATTCATGAGTCACAAAGTGGATTTGTTCCGGGTCGTCTGATTACGGATAATGTGTTGGTGGCTTATGAGTGCTTTCATTACCTCCGAAAGAAAAAAAAGGAAAGAAAGGCTATTTGGGTCTTAAACTTGACATGAGCAAGGCTTACGACAGAGTAGAATGGGAATTTTTGCAGAAAATGATGTTAAAATTAGGAATTCCAGAATACTTTGTTGCTCTGATTATGAAGTGTCTTAGCACTGCCTCGTTTGATGTGCTTATGAATGGCCAGTCGTCGAGAAAATTTAAGTCTAGTCGGGGACTTAGACAGGGTGATCCCATCTCACCTTTTCAGTTTATTTTATGTGCGGAGGGTTTATCTGCTTTGCTTAGGGATGTAGAGAGCAGGAATCTCATTCATGGAGTTAAAATTAGGAGACATGTACAACCTATTTCCCACTTATTTTTTGCAGATGATATGATAGCTTGCTCTTTGTGAGAGTGATGGAAGGGGAAGTTGATACGGTACTTGGGGTTCTTTCTACTTATGAAGTGGCTTCGGGTCAGAAACTGAATATGGATAAATCAGAGGTGTCTTTTAGCCGAAATATTAAGCAAGAACGGAAAAATATGCTTCAGATGAAGTTGTCTTATAAGGTTGTCGAGGGACATGATAAATATCTCGGTTTGCCAACCTACATTGGTGGATCGAAGAAACAGGTTTTTCAAAATTTTCAGGATCGGATTTGGAAGAAACTAAAAGGGTGGAAGGAGAAGTACTTATCTCAAGCCGGGAAGGAAATTTTGATTAAATCCATTTCCCAAGCAATCCCGACTTATGCTATGCAATGCTTCCTAATTCTGGCTAGTATTTTAGAGATGGTGGAAAAATTATGTCGACAATTTTTTGGGGGGAAAAAAGGAGAGGAGAAGAAGATTTGTTGGGTTGCGTGGGAGAAATTATACTCTTCGAATAATCAAGGGGTTCTTAGATTTCGAAATATGAAGAATTTTAATAAGGCCCTTCTAGCGAAGCAAGCTTGGTGTATTCTCTCCAATGAAGATTCTTTGATGGCCAAGGTTCTAAAGGGGAAGTATTTCCCTCACTAAACGTTCTTGGAGGCAAAAATTAACTCGAACTCGAGTTATACGTGGAGGTCTATTTTAGGGGCTCGTGAGGTTCTTCTTAAAGTTGTTAGGAGTAATATAGGGGATGAAGCTACTATTAATATATGGAGTGACCCCTGGGTGCCAAATCTGCCAAGCTTAACTGTTGCCTCGAGTTAGAGTGATGATGCTCAAGACCTCACTTATGTTCGTCAGTTATGGAGTAATAAGGAGTGGGACTTGAATATTCTTAATGCTAATTTTTCTGAGATAGAGGTTAGCAAAATTCGATGTATTCCTATACCTCTCTTTGATTGTAAAGATTTGTAGTCGTGGCATTTTACCAAGGATGGGAACTATTCGGTGAGAAGTGCGTATAATTTAATCGCTGATGAGCAAATGCGTGATATGGCTGTTACATCGAATAGTGGGAGTTCCTTTGATTGGAGAGTGATTTGGCGTGCCGAAATTCCACAAAAAATCAAACTGTCTGCGTGGAGGACTATTAAGGATGCTGTGGCTGCCCATAGTATTCTTGCTCGTAGAGGTATGGAGGTTGATGTGCTTTTTCCTATGTGTGGTGAATGCTGTGAGAGTACACTGCATTTGTTAGTAAAATGTGAAGAAGCAAGGTTGATTTGGTACATTTCTCCATTGCGTTTGGAGGTGGAAAGTTTTGTAGGGGAAAGCTTTCGAGTGGTGTTGTTCGTTGAGAGAAAAATACAAAGACCCAGAATGGTGGTGTATTTTATGGTGCATTACTTGGGGTATATGGCTTCGCTGTAACAGATGGGCTTTTGATAGGAAAAGACTTGACAAAAATGAAGTGATTCGCAAAGCTGTGTGTCTCGTGGGTGAGTTCGAACACGCCAAAGAGGTATGCAATAGCAATTCTCCCTCTCCGATTCTTGAGTGTGTGTGGAAACCCCCCTTGGCCGGGTTAATCAAAATAAATTTCGATGCTGCGATTTTTTCTCCTAGTGGGGTGGGTTTGAGAGGTGTAATGCGTGATTCGGTCGGGGATGTGGTAGCTTCTACTTGTTGCAAAGTTGAAGGCTGCTTTGATGTGGATGTGGTGGAGGCCTTAGCGATGCGCCATTCTCTAAATGTTGCAATGGAGTCTGGGTTTAGGCATGTATGCTTAGAGACGGACTGCTTGAAGTTTCACCACCATCTTATGAAAGGAGTGACTACCTCTACGGCTTTTGGGATGATTGTTAATGACATATTGAAGCTTGCTCAATTGTGCCAGAGTTTCTCTTTTTCCTTCGTGAAGAGAGGTGGAAACAAAGTTGCTCATGCCCTTGCTAAGTGTAGTATCAATTTTGTTGGTTTTATAGTTTGAATGGAGCAATTTCCTCCTGATGTAACTGAATTTGTGGTGGCCGATTTGAGCCTCATGGTTTGATTTATATAAGTATTTGTTTCCCGTAAAAAAACGAGAATGAATAAAGAAAAGTGAAAAAGAATGAGGACAAGTGCCAACTTTGGCTTGTGTTTTTAAATACTAATTAAGTATAAATATATGTATTCCATAAATTGTGAGTTCTCTGGTTTAACATTCGTTTGTAATATGTACGGATGATGTATTCTTACATGTATAGATTTACCATCATCAATAGTGGTTAACCACAACAATATTTTGAAAACTAATTTGTTTATTTTTTTTAATTTTTTTTTTCTTTGTTAGGGTTTCTTGTCTAGACCATTTATTTGTTAATTAAATAAGTCGTCCAATTTGATGCACATGCGAAATAGTCGTCAAGGGTTTGTTTGAATGTTTGATTGATTGTTTTATGTTTAATGCATGGAATTCTATTTAATATTAGAATTAAAAAATTATTTAGCAAATAATCAATATTTCATCTTCAACCATATATAATCTTCATATGAATTTCAGCTACATTTTTTGTCATCTTCAACATAAAACCTTCATCAATAACCAAAAACCTTTTCTCCACATATAAAACTTGTCCATTCATAATTAGGAAAAATAGTTACAAAAATAACCCCAACTTTTCTTGTTGACACAAACTAATCCCAACTTTGTATTATTTTTAAATAATCCGAACTTTGGAGGTTATGCGCTCAAAATGGTCCCAATTGGTCACCTAACCTGTTATAACAAGTTAGGTGACACGTGTTACTACGTCATTAGTGAAAAAAATGAAAATAATTTTTTTAAAAGAAAAAAAAAAAAAAAAACCAGCTTTTCCACCCACGACTGGCAGCACTCTGGCCTCCCACCGGCATAGACTAGGTCGGCAGCCACCTTAACTCAGCCAGAGCTCTGCCCCCGCACCGACAACGCTTTCCTCTGCCCTCATTGCCCCGAAAACACCAAACCCCAAACAACATAAATCTTTTTTTTTTTTTTAAAAAAAAACACCTTCCTCCACCTCATTAAACACCCAACCACCACTTCATTCTCCTACCCTCAAAACCCTAGCTCCTAGGGTTTCTAAGGTGGGGGAGGGTCGGTGTTGGTGTTTTGCGGTGGATTGGGGTTTTGGGTTTAGGGAATTTAAGGGTAAGGGAGGCGGCAGAACCGGCACCGAATCGGGGAAGGAGAGGCTGGGAGTTGCATTTTAGGATGCTGGGATACTTGGGCTAGTCGGTGGGAGAAAGCCGCCAGAAGTACGTGGTGGGGTGGGGATTATTGTGGATTATGGGGCTGGTTTTTTGTTTTGTTTTTTTTTTTTTTTTTTTAATTATCAACCAATCACGTGGTGACACCTGTTATTATAATAAAAAAATACCTCTTTAACAGGTTACCTATCGCTTGGGATCATTTTGAGCGAATGACCCCCAAAGTTCAGATAATTTAAAAATAATCCAACGTTGGGATTATTTTGAGAGAACGGACAAAAGTTGGGATTATTTTTAACAATTTTTCCTATTAATTATTATATTATACAAGAAATTAATAAATTGTTGTCGAATATTCATAATAATGCTTCAATTTTATGTCAAATTATGAGCAAGGTACTGTAGACACCCATTTGTTTCTCCCCAAAACAAAACCCGGTGATGAATTCCTTTCACGTCAAATCATAATCCAATGAAGTGAAAGTGTGGAAGGTCTAGTGTTGCGGATAGATTTAATTTCCTTTCTCTTCTCTTTATTTTTAAAAACTTATTTTAAGAAAACAGCCAATCTAGTTTGGTTTGGTCCATAGCAAGGGTCCAATAATGGTATAGTTGGATGGAGTTTGAAAAGAGCTTTCCAACGATATATTATAAACCCAATTTTGATGAATAATGAGGAAGTTATGGCCAAATTACTAAACTGGGTCTGGTTTGATACTTATATGCAGCCCAATGATATAGAGGAGGTCCTAATATGGATTTATCATTCCTAATGCAATTAGAATTGATTTTAGTCTTCTAGAAGGTTCTTTTCATTCCTAATTCAATTAGCATTGATAAATTGACTTTGGTTGACTTTTTAGAGTTTTAATCAAAACAAAAGAGTGTTTTTAAGGAAAACTCGATTTTTCCCATCTGTACGGCTAAATTTTATCTGAATTAAGAAAACGCGTGAAAATAATAATTAGCGCCTGACAACAGACATTAGCCTTAGCGCCTGGCGCTAATCTGATTTATGCTCGTCGAAACTCTGATTTGTTTTTCTATCTGTTTGGCTGATTTTCTCTATAAATAGCCTCCTAAATCCTCCGTTTTTTATCACCAACTCTCATCAAGAATTTCTTGATTAGTCTCTCTCCCTCTTTTGTAAACTAGCCTTCTCTCAAACAAAATTCCGCATTCACAAGACCAAGAAACACCTAGCATAATTCGAAGTTGCCTTCGCCCTAGACGGGAAAGGTTTTAATTTCTAAGGGTTTGGTCCCTAATCTCTATTTCAATTATTTAATTTTATTGTTTGATTTTATATTTTCTTTGAAGTTACTAACATGTGTATTTTGTTTTTAGAAAGAGGTACGAGGCATCCAAACAAGTGCTTTAATGGTTTTATTAATATTATGATGTAGAAATCATGTCTAGGTTGTTATTTTGATTCCTAATGTCATGTTAGGGTGTTTTGATCTTCCTAGTATCATGTTAAGGGTAACAACTAAAATTTCCTAATATCAAGTATGATTAAAAGTATGCTTCCTATTTTCTTTCCTAATATTCATGTTTGTATCATATTAGGGCTAAAACTTTGATCCTTGATGTTTGTTATTAATCTTGTTAGTATCATTCCTAGTATCATGTCTAGGGTTTGTTATTAATCTTGTTAGTATCATGCCTAGAATCTTATTATTATTATGCTTTAACATGATTATTATTATTATTATGTTTATTATTTATTGTTACTTTATATTTATTGTTATTGCTTGATCACGCCTTTTATGCATGTTTAAAGGGAATTTGTACTTGTAATCACGCTTAATAAGATAATTAATAATATTGTTTAGGGTTAATTTGATTATAATTCAAGTGATCGCCAATAATAGTTTTATTTGGTCATTAAATTCAACTAACATAGATAAACAAGTTTAAGGTTAAACCTATTGATTGCATGTTAGTCATAAAACTCACATGAATACGATCAGAATAAAGTAGAGGCCTATTATTAGGGCAGGTTCAATCTCTTTTAGGTTGGATTTGTACCTTCATCCCCGAACTACCAGTCATGGTTCCAGACCTATTGGATTTGACGATCTCTTGGATCGTTAAGGGGTGTAACCTTCACCTCGTGAACGGTTTACAAGTTCCTAAAATTTGTTGGCGACTTTTTTGCTTTATCTTCTTTCCCTTTGGACGCCACAGTACTTTAGTGTATGATCACAGTGAGGTTCAAGTTAGGAGTAATGCTTAAAATATTCCCTACAGTTTTTTGGGGACTCCGCTGGGGAGGATTTCTATTTTAATTCATGAAATTTATTTCGGCAATGATTTATAATGAGTGGATGAGACTCGAAAAGTTCTAAGTATTTCATGTGCGTAATTTTGATTAACATTATTGTCATATGCATAAAAAAGATCTCATTGGAAAGACCATCTGTAATGAGTTCAAACTTAGGATTTTTACACGTAAGAAATTTTAGGAATATCTTTCACAACTAGGATCGAAATAATGTTGCGCGAAACATGAAAATTTTATCGAGCACAGAAAGCTGCTGAGGCATGTAGGAACTAGCGTCAGGGAACAAAGTCTAGCGCTAATAATTTGACGTTAGCGCCAGGAGACAACTTTTGTCGCCCGGCGCTAAAGCCAAATTATGCGATGGCCTCTGTTTGATGGCGCCAAGTTCTTCCAATACCAAGCCAGAAATATGCGTTCTAATTTCGACCAGTTTTTAGCACTATTTGCTCGATCCTACTTCCTGATTGACTTTTTCTTACTTTTCTGAAACCCATATGTGTTCTACATATGGACATAACCCTCTGGGAATTCATGCTCCATCTACCTGATTGAACGCTCTGAGCAACAAAGAGTACATCCGAGAATGTTGAATTCACCAAACCATGGAAGCGAGTTTTTCAAAACTCGCGGTGTCCCATCCACTCGCGCCAACCCTTCACGGTTAGGCTTCCGCGTGGTGCATTTGGACAATTAACCATGGACCCTCTATTGACTAACCCATATCCCGAACTTTAGAGAACTAGAGCCATGTTTAGGTTGGGAACTCATTGCTTCATGTTGTGCCTACTTGACTAATTGTGCATTATTGGTTGTGCATCCCCTATGTGTTTTTTCCTAACCGTTTATTTGACTTGTGCTAAGATTAAATAAATTGATTTATGACTAAAATAACTTTTCCTAATTACTTAATTAATTAATTTGAGTAATTAAAGTCTAATAATTTAATCAGAGTTGACTTAGTACGACTTTAGGCATACCCTGCAGAATAATACCGAAAGCAGTTCCAGATCGACGTTCCAGAATTGGCGCCAAGATTAAAACTGCAGCTCCACTCTGTGGAGCGTAGCGCTTGGCGACAGTCCTATCGTCTGGCGTTACACTGCAAAGAGAGGCGCCAGTCTTATCGTTTTGGCGACAGTTCAGTTTGTTGCTCGAGTCATCACCTTATGTCTAATTGAACAATTTTCTAGTTAATTCAGTTCATTTTTACTAGTAATAATACCGTTTCAAGTCATTAATCGAGTCTAAGCACTAAGTCCCATGGTCTTACACAAGAGTCAAAGCATGTCACTTACACTCACCATATAAAGCACACACTAATGCACACTTTGACCACGTCTAAGGGAGTCTAGTATGCGCGTATTTTCCGTCATTTTTTTAGGGGGGGTAAGTCGGATAATAATCCTCCAATTAAACCACTTGTTTGAACCCTATATTTAACTCCCAAAATATGCACCCTATTTTTTCTT